GCTGAAATTTCAAGACAACGACACGTCCCCTCATTTTGGTCGCGCAAACGCCGTCCTTGTTCAAAGGATTCGGTGCGCAAGCACTGGGAATGTTCCACTTCCGCGGCTCAGAAATACGCGCTGACGGCGCCATCCAATGATGACGGAGGCAATGTTCCGCCCTTTCATCATGCCACATTCACCGTTCATTTCTAAAGGCGTCCTGGTGATGCGGTTGTTCCGCTGCTGAGCCCTTCCTTTACAAAAGCTGAGAGTGAAGTGACAAGAGGAAGCGCTGATCTCGGCACGATATCAAACAGTGAGCTCTCTTCCAAGTTAGGAGGCTTCTTCACCGGCAGGGTTTCTATCCAGAGCTCTCGCATAGGTATTGGGTTGGCACATAAGTAATGGGGCGTTTTTTCAATTGAAAATTTGTTCCAAAAGTGAAACGTTTTGCAAGCAATCTTGATATCATCTGATAGGAAACTTCTCGTAGTATAAGAATATCAAAACAGCTTCGGTTGAGGGAATAATTTTGTGAATTTTTTAGTCGTTGAAGTTGAAAGTGAAGTCGGCGAAAATTAGCACCTTCGACAACTGCCTCTATTTACGTCTACTCGAAGTGCTAAAATCGCTTAAGCTGCTCCATACATTCGGAAAAGGTTGAGGTAGAAGTCTCAGCAAGGGAATCTCAATAGGACGCTTTGGAACTAATTTCAAGAATTTCAAAGTTGGCAACCTTCACCTCGCCGATATTGGGCAGGCTCACGTCTGTTCCACCTGAAATTTTATGCTAATATTGATTTTTCGCTAATATTGTGACTGGCAAATGGAAATCTATCCTCAAGAGGCTGTTTACTTTCTGTTTAGATTTCACGGTATCTTTACGGAACGTGAGGTCAAGTGAGAAGCGTTCCCGTACTTCCTCTCCCTACCGCTGTCCACGGAAAGCTTCAAAGCTCCTGGAGCAGCTCAATAGAATCGCCATGGTTTGAGTAAGGCATAGAGTAACAGATTAGTATTAGGACGGCTCACAACTGATTCTGGAAAAAAGCACAACCGACAACGTTGACCTTGCAGACATCCGGTCGACCCATACCTCACGATTTTTTTGTTTTCCTTAGTAAATTTCAAACAGTATTTACAACACTATAAAAAATATAGATATTTCACAATAAACTAGTCAATGATATATTCCCCATTGTTTTCTTACAACCTCCTCCCACCGATCAGCCAGCTGTTCAATGCCTTCTCGGTAAAAATCCTGTGGCCGCGACTCGAAGAAGGAATCGGCACTATTGAAACTATTCCTACCCCAAAAAACCCAAACAAATTTTTTTGCACTGAAACTCGCCTATAGCTGTAGTTCGCAGCGATTTGATGTTCAGCGAATATCGAATCCGTGTCGAACGCTGGCGTCATTTTTGGCGCCCATTATGCGGCTCAGTTTTGGTGCAAAACACTTTTTGTTCAACAAAAGTTGATGAAGAACTTGCAATATGGAGGTTACTCGAAACATCCCTGAATCACGAATATCAACACTGTTTCGAGTGCTGGCGCCATTTGGCGCCAATATGCGCCAGTATGGCAACTAATTGGTGCGTAATGGCGCCAAATGACGCCAGCGCCAAAAATAAATGTTGGATTCGTAACCAGAACATCAATTAAGCCACTAACGCAAGTTTTCATCAACTTTAATGAAAAAAGTGGTGTATCGCCAAATGGTGCATAATAGTGCGCACGACGGCGCTCGAAACGGACTCGTGAAATTCGTGATAGCGCACGAATTACAATTCTATATGGCAACATATTCCAGGCGACAAATTTTTTTGAGGTTTTGGGGTAGGAATATGTTAATAGTGCCATGTTGGCTATCAGAGCATACAAGAACACAATAAGCGAAACATCCAGGCGTTTCGCATAAAAATTAAACTGTGAAATCGGGACACGCTAATTCTCACCGGACCTCGAACGTTCCGTATAGATAAACCTGCAAATTAATCAGAAACAAGTAAACAGCTACTGGAGAATTCCCAGATTAGAGTGCGCGTTGTTTATAAGAAGCTAGTCGAAATTTGCGCTGCATAAATCAGCACACATTCAATCATATTAAGGCATAAAAATTTACTATAACTTTAAGGACAGACGAATCGTCCAGAGCGCCCAATATGCGGCGAGAGTGAAGGTTGCCAACTTTGAAATTCTTGAAATTCGTTTCAAAGCGTCCTATTGAGATTCCCTTGCTGAGACTTCTAGCTCAACCTTTTCCAAATGTATGGAGCAGCTTAAGCGATTTTAGCACTTCGAGTAGACGTAAATAGAGGCAGTTGTCGAAGGTGCTAATTTTCGCCGACTTCACTTTCAACTTCAACGACTAAAAAATTCACAAAAATTATTCCCTCAACCGAAGCTGTTTTGATATTCTTATACTACGAGAAGTTTCCTATCAGATGATATCAAGATTGCTTGCAAAACATTTCACTTTTGGAACAAAATTTTCAATTGAAAAAACGCCATTACTTATGTGCCAACCCAATATTTACGCTCCTTTGTCCCAGTTGCTTACTACTTTGTCACTGATATCTGAGGCTCACACCCCAGCCATTTTTATAGCGAGGCGTAGCAACCTAAAGCAAATGTGAGACGCTTTTTTGAAAGAGGTTCTGGCCCGTAGGCACAGGGAATGTACAACATCCGTATTTCAAGGATATGCAATAAGGACGCAAAGTTCTTGTAACGAAGCTAGGGTCCATCCATTGGTCCGCTACTAATAGTGAAGAGTGACATGAAAAGAGGCTGATTGTTATCTGAGACAGTGAGAAGCTCGTCCAAGACGCCCCTCAGGAGGTTTCCATCTGGGGGCAGTTTCTGGCGGTCAAGCAGGGATCGCTCTCTGATGTGATAGGCCACTTTCCGACTGAATGCCTGGTTTGATGGATTCCTCCTATTTTTAAGTCTTCATGCTTCGAGGTGGTGTGTGGCCACCAGTACAGGAAAAAGCTCCTTTTTGGCCGTGTACTATTGGGAGTACACGTGCCTCTTCGCTTGTTTTTTGATATTTTTTTTGCTCTTTTTCCACTTAACATTTGGATAGCCAATACATAATACAACAGTAAGAGAAATAAATATCATATTTCGAAGAGGCGTGCACTCTCGAAAAAATAGCAAATATATCTTTTCCTTGGGCGTTTCGTGACCTCCCATGGGTGCACGCGGCTTTTCACTCGCCTTTTTGTGATTTTCCCCTTTTCACTAGAAACTCTATGCAAATAATAACGCAAATAATACGCAGATATTACCACCAACATCTATTGTGTAATTTTCAGAAAAAGTTGCTTTTGATGAGAAAGTGTTTCGGAAAACCACGCTATTTCGAATCAGCCTCTTCACCGAAATCAGCTTATTTCAAAAGTGAAAAGGGGGAAAATTTCGAGTGAACTGGGCGAAGAATTACTAGAAAACACATGAAAAAGTTCGCAGCATTATTTGTGCATTATTTGCATTATCATTTGTACATATGTATTTTCTAGTTAACATCTTTTCCCCTCGAATCCAGTCATCCTCAAAAAGTACAAAAACCCACCATACCCACCAAAAAATTGCATGTGTCCAAAGAGAGGATTGTGAAAAAATGTTAAAAAAACTGACATGGGGAGGTTTTGTCGAAATCAGCACGGGAGGTTCTGGCGTTTTTCGCCCGCCGCGAACGCGCCGCTCGACAAACGGGAGTTTTTGGCGAAACGGCGTCGCCGCGAACGTGTTAAGAACTCCTATAACCGCAATTTACTTTCGAGGCTATGTTATTTTCCGTCTTTCTTAAGGAATATTGCTCATATTTGGCATTAGAAACCAAAAACACTTTGGCTTTGGCCCGATCGTCATGGTCACATATTGCCGACATTCTCCTTTTGCTCGACTTTCATTAATACCAGAGCCCATCAGCACTGCGATATTCATTCATGATGTCGTCCATTCTATACAACCCTCTTGTTTTCAACTGTTAAATCAAAAATAAGACAGATATAATCAGTTCACAGACCTCGAAAGGGGGTATATCAGCCACTGACCCTCTATGTCTTTGTGATGCTGCCAGTTGATCATTAGAGTTCTCGTCGCATTTCTCCTTCAATTATGTTATAGCTATTCCATTTTAAAAGCTGTAATTCCCGAAATCAGTGTCGGCTTTTCAGATGAGCTTAGGAGAAATGTCCATGACGAAAGCGCTTTGCTGCTCCATGGATAATTTGAGTAGAGTGCTTGGTAGAATTCTACGAATCCCATTCGACACATACATTTCTTCTGCCTTGCAGAGGAAGTGAAGGTGCAGAATTGGCTGAATTGTGTGAGTGCCAAACGACAATAAGAATTAGCGATCAAAGTGGGAAAGTAAGATTGATTACTGGCGGAGATTGAGACCCTTCCTGGATCAGAAGTGGGCAAAAGCATACCGGATGACGTGCGTCGGTCGTAGGCTCGTATTTTGTGATACAATGAGAGCAGAAGTCCAAGTCAGAGATGTGCCGCGGAAACCATGGAACTGCAACGAACACGTCTCAAAGACAGTGCAACGATGGTCTTATCTTACCTGCCATCTGTTCTCACCTTCTACCACTTCATCTTTACGATAAGAGGGCGATACCAGTAAGGTGATCGAAATTCTGAACGAGATCTGCAGCAGCGGCGATCAGCTCTTCTTTGGTGGCATCACAATCGGCCAGTAGATCCCATCCTGTTCAAATAAGCTATTGCGAGGAGTTACGGGTAGGGCCTGGAAGTTTGAGTTGCGGCACCATGACCGAAATCGTTGCAAGCATGTCTGAGCGACCGACACTCAAAACATGAGGCGCAATGAGAAAGAGTCATCACGCCGGAGCGCCGCGGGTGAATTA